CTCGATCCAAGAGTGGATGAGGGGTTTCAGGTTGAACCTAATGAAGAAAAGAAACCCTTCTAGTTAGGAAAAAGGCCCGAGTAAGTTACATACCTAGGAGCCAGATTCTCACAGAGCAAACAACATGCAATACAAAAGGTACTCCTTGATCATACCGAGTTGTTTGCATGGAAGACAGCAGCTATTAATGAATCCACTTTTTATTGGATTTTTATTTGTCATTTTGATGTTTCTTAATAGAAAAAGTAAACTTAGGAAGTGTAAATAACATAAAAATATCATTTTGGCCAACTATCATAGGTTTCTTAATTTTTGGTTAATTTACATTAATTTACATAGATATAGTTTGCAATTTTGATCATTTGAATAATTGTGCAGGAATTTCTAGACTTTTTCCATGGATTTTTAGCCTTTGAGAAATTTTGAGTTGAAAGTGATCACTTTTAGAAGTGAAAGTGGACACTACAGCAAGCTAGATCCAGAGGGCAGACCAGAGTAACCACTTTCAGAAGCAATAGTGATCACTTCAGAATCAAAGGAAGCACCCAGACCTGCGCGTGTTTACTCTCAGAAATGATAGTAAACACTCCAGAGAGCCCCAGAGTTCAGGACCATGCGCGTGTTTACTCTTGTGAATGATAGTAATCACTATGCTTGCGCGTGTTTACTCTTGTAAACGATAGTAATTACTATGATCGAGAGTGCTCACTGTCGTGAACGAGAGTAACTACTCTGAAGGCGTCAACTTTTCTATATATGGATTTTTACCATTTAGGGTAGGGGGACTTTTACAGAACTTTTTCTCTCAAATATACCACAAATTTTAGGATACTCTTGGAGAGCCTAGGGTGGCCTTGGGTGACAGCCAAGGATCCAACCTAGGGTTTGATTAACATTTTCTCCTTACTTCTCTTTGATTTTTGTATTGATGTTATTGATTTCTCTTTACTTTCATTTTGTAATTGTGAGACCCATCCTCATGGAGGGTTAATTTTCTTGTAATCTCTAGTGAGTTCATATGGATTCTTGAATTCTTGGTTTTTTGAATGTTAATGCAAATCTTTTTCTTCCATGAATTTCTTCCTCCCAAACTCTTGAATTGAATTAATGGTTGAATGAGGGGAGCATTGCGTAATGAACCCTAATTCGTTTTAAGGAAATTCTAAATTTGAATTGCTTAATTCTTGTTTAATTCCAAGATTGCGTAATCAAGGAATGAGATATTGGAGTTCATTGGATTGCTTAATTCATATGAAAACATAAGGTTGATTTTCGCTTGTTAAATCAACCTAATTCCGAGAGAAGAGGAAAAGTATTAAATCTTGAGAGGAATAGGGATAGAGTTTATATGAATGAACTAGGGGTTACTACATTTTATCAATTGAACTTTGCAATTTAATTTTCTGCTTAAGTTGATTGAACTTGAAATCACAAAACCCCCATTTTTACTTGCTTTCTAAATACATTGCACACTACATGTTTGATATTTGGTCACTCGTCCAATGATTCATGGGAGACGACCTAGACTACATAAATTTTTCTGCATATTTTGATGAAGGTTGACGACAAATCTTTTTGTAAATGAGAAAATATTTTGTTCATCAGCTATGCCCAGAATCGATCCCGATTTCCTATGCCATTGACTATAGGCATCGGACAGCTCCAAACCCTTGGCTCTTGTGGAGTTCACAGCAGTTTGAGCCCGGTCTTCAGTAGCCCGAACCCGATCTTTCATTATCTTGAGATATTCTTTCAGTTGGCCTACCTCAACCTCCAGCACCTGGTTGGTGTCAGCCAAATTAGACCAAACCTCTTCACTTTGCTTTAGAGCCCTTTCGGCGGTAGCCACTCGCTGTTGAGCTTTCTCAAGATCAATAATGGGTTCTAAAGCCAAATTTTGAGCCACCACCATAGCTCGGGTTTAGAGTTCGCAAAACCAAGCTTAGACTTTTTATCCTGGTTGTCCAAAAGAGTCCTCCCAGCCTCCGATATCAGATCCGAAGATACTAACCTCATTGTCCAAACACCATTCCTAAAGAATTTATCTGTCATTAACATTGGTGGAATGACAGACTCAGCCGAAGAGCTGCTTAGCATAAAAGAGGTTTGCCAAGAAGTTTCGGTGCGGGCGTGCTTTTTCTATGTTCACCTTCCTTTCCCTTGTTCTTGTCTTTTCTTTTCTTTTGGACACCCTCGGGAAGGGGAACACTGGTCGGGGTAGGATGAGTAGCGATAAGTTTTGGTACTCGTTCTATTTGGGGGTGACGGTGTTGTTCAGTCGATGTCCCCTCTAGAGCCTGATATTTTAGTGCTTTTCGATATGATAAACTGGCTCCCTTTTGTGCCATGATACCTGCACCAAAAACAAGAAGTCAAATTAATATAACATGGCCAATGAAGCTACACAAAAAGGAAAAAAGCATACCCTTTAAGTCTAAGCGAGACTTAGGAGACTTTGGTAGAAGGATAAGAGTTCAGGCAAAAAGCTCTCGGGGGAGCATTTTCAAATAGTTTAATGCTGACAACTCCTCCAGGGTCAACATTTCTTCTGGATACACGTCATACTGATGAGGGACTCAGGTCCAGTGAAAAGGGAAGAGGGGTTTATCTTTATTGTCATAAAAATATTTTTTACTGGCAGCAGGATTTACCTCTATCTTAAAGTACTCGGTCTTGAAACCCTTGAAAGAAGAAGTATAGGGTTTGAACAGTGACAATTTGACTTACCTTATTAAAGAAACCCACCTAGCTTTATCAGAAGAATGAGTACAAAAGAAATAAAGAAAAAGACCTACATTAGGCTTATATAATGATATTTACATAATATCCTAAAGGCTTGCATTGTCGTCCACCCATTCAAGTGTAACTGAGTAGGTGCCACATTCAGCACACGAAGCACCCCCATTTGAAACTCATCAAATGGTAACACTACCCCTAACTCCGTAAACATACGCTCGTATAAAAAAAAGGTGTCGCCCATTCTAGTATCCTCACCTAAAAATACAAGTTCGAGATTTGCCATCCATTTCCTCGACAAACCTTAACAATTATTGGATAGGCATCTAAGTCGTGCCATAGAGCTATATTATACAAATCTACATAGTTTTGAAGATGCCCCCTTTGTCTAAAGCGTGAAAAGTAAGCAGTCACCTCTCCGTCCACCCATTCATACCCAAGAATGATACCCTATGGGAGCTTTGGCCTTTCCCGTATAAAACTTACGTTAGGGATCGACTCATCTGACCCAGAGTCCACCCCTTCGATAACGGGCGTTTTGGCTCGATCGCCTAAATTCCTCACCACGTCAATTGGTTCAGTGGCCCCTTCGACATCGGATCTCCTTGATATAGCTTCCACTTCTCCTACCAAAGCACTACTTGGTCTCGAGGCCTCTGACAAAAAATCTTCCCACTCAATTGAGTGCTCCATATTTGAAAAAATTGGAAGACAAACAAGAAAGCGATGAATACTTGAGCTTTAAGCAGAATATACCCCTCGATGCAGAGCAAAAGTGAGTATAACGCCTGGACCACAACCTCCTTTTATAGAATTCCAAATTTGGGTAGATGAAAGGTTGCCTTTCTTCCCAACCGTCAAATCATCTTTAGATCAACGGCTATCACGCTGCAACCTTTCATCTCAGAGCATGAACCATGAGGAAACCCTAATATGCTAAAACCCTAAATTGGTAAAACCTTAGTTTTTCTGACACATAGATTCAAAAAAATTTATGTCACATTGACGAGGGCTTGGGGAGCAAGTGTAAAGGATAATTGGTCATTCCCAAAAAAGAAAACTGAATACCCCCTCAGCCTAACCTAAGTTGAATAGTACCTATGCCCATTTGGCTTATATGCATGAGGACCATATATCATCAGAGCAATAAGTTGCCCTCAGATCAATTCAAAAGTCCTTATGTCATACTTCCTCAGGCTTGGGGACAAGTGTACTAGATAAGACACTTTCAAATACCTATTCGGCTTGACATTAGGTCGAAAGGTACCCACACCCTTTCAAACTAACCTTAGGACAAACACTTCTCTAATCATGTCAAAATAAGATAATTAAATATTAATAATTGATAATTAATAAGAAAAAAGCTAATCACTTGAGTAATTAGAAGGCAAAGATAGAGCTGAGTTATGAAATCCATTAGTCCAATATTTTGTCTATAAAAAGAAAGTAAAAAGTACATGTAAAAGGAAGACTTGAGAATATAAAATAACATTTATTATCTTATACCGAACACTGACTTAACAATCGGAGTATCTTTACAAGTACTCTCTCCCACGTCACTACAAAAGTGAATTAAAATATTCTATAAGAACATTGTATTAGAGGATCAAATCAGTGACTACTAAAAACAAGGGTATCTTGCTATAATTAGTAAACTTTGTACTCTTAAATTTGATTGATAATTTCTAGATAATTAACGCAGTCTTTTCATTTTGAATGTTTTAAAAAATTATTTAAAGTAATTATAAATTAATATGATGGGTTAGTTATCAGTTTATTTTAAAATAAAATATTTGCACAATGTGTGGTAAGTGTGGTCTGAAAATAAACTAAAATCACATCAAATTATTTGCACGAGTTCCAAAACACACTAAGTGAATAATAAGAAAAAGTTAAAAATAAAAAAAAGTAATTAAAGCATTTAATTTTTCTTCCTGTACGAGTCTTTGCATGAAAATATATTCATAACATTTTGATCGTTTTTCAATTTGAAAATTTCACTTCTCAATCTCTGCTTATACTAAAATTTGGACAATGACAACCACAGGATCCGCGATAATTACGTCACTGACGGGAAACAATAAATATCAAGGCATCATCGAGCCAAGGTCTGGGCTTGAAGGTGTAAGTTCTAGAGATTTCCCAAAAATTTGTCTGGGCTCATTGAAAAACATAGAAAGTGACTGGGCCTCAATGTAGCCCAACACGTAACTTTTGTGGAATCCCACGACGCTACATGGCACAATTCATTACGGCTCATCAACAAGTCAAAATCAAATTCGAAACCGAACACCGCAAGAGAAAACGAAAAAGGGTGTGAAACATGATAGAACGACACTGCCACGTGGGCGCTTAAAAGGCCTCTTCGTAAAACGGCCACACAAACAACACCAGTTGCACTCTCCGCCCAGGCACAAGAACGAAAATCCAGGCTAAGAGTGGACGCTCCCACATTCCCAAACGTCACCGTATCCTTAAAGATAAGGCTTACGCAAACACACTGAAATTCATTTGCATCATCTCTCTCGATTCAACGAGTGTTGTGGGTTTCTTTGTTATTGGGATGAGCATTGAAGCAAAAGGGGTGTTTTCTGCGTAGTGGTTTTGGGACTGCATCTGCAACTGCATGAGTTGGGCAAAACCTAGGTGGCTCTTCAAGTTTGTTAGCTTGAAGTTTTACAAGCAGCTCCAACTATGGCTATTGCTACGGCCACCTTCTCTCTCCATTTTGGCAAATTCCCCATTCGTCAAACTCACTCATCGTCTCGAATACGCCATCGCTTCTCTTCTGGCCGAGGGTTGAATCTCACTTACCCTTGTGCCTATCACAGGTTAAATTAGTTGAACCAACTAATGCTAAGCACTCGGAATTTCAAATTTGGACTGTGAATTAATGGATGTTTGTTAAGTGTTTGTCACTTCATTGGTTTCAGGTTTTCCTGTTTGAGTTCCAAATGTTCAATAACGGATACTGATGTGCATTTGGATTGCGTTGGCGAGGAGGAAGATGGAGGAGGGTCTTCTGTGGTTGAGCCTCCCTGTCCGGTGTCGTTCGTAAAACTCAAGACTGATATTCTGGAAACTGAGTCTTTGAATCTTCTCTCCCAAGCTGCATTTGTAGATACTCTCTTGACATCATTGCCTGTAGGTTGTTTTACGTGGTTTGGTGTGTTGTTAAGCACTGCCTCATGTTTCTCATCTTTCTTTCTATGCTGTCTTCTGCAGGTTTTGTCTGAAGAGGAGCAACATGCACTTTCAGCTACTCCAGCTCACCCTGCTGGGTTACACGGTGAGATGTTTCTCACTCAATTTCAATGCCCTTCAGCTATTCCTGTATACCGAGTTCATTTGTTACTAATTGCGATTGTGGATGTGGTTGCTGTTGCGGTGATTGCGATTGCAAATCACTGTGACGCATGTTGGCCATTGCGATGTGAATTTATTTTATGTTTCCACATATTATACCCCATTATATCCGTGTTCAAAATCTCACATCTTTTACTCCTACCTCTCAAATATCTCCTTTATTTCAGCACAAGCTCATCACCATCCTAAAATCCTGCTAACCCTTCTTAGTTCCCATTAAATCTACTGAACAAAGAAAGAGAGAGAATGAAGAATAATTCGTATAAGGACTCCAATGCCTTTGTAGTCTGATGTGGCTGTTACACCCGTCGGGTTGTGACGTTGCATTGCGGATATTTTGGTGACTTTGTAACTAGCTGCAATTGCAGACACCAATGCAACTGCCGTATTGTGGTTGTATTATGTAATGTGCTGCACAACTTGAAACAGTATACACTGGATGGAATCATATCTGTTTTAAATTCAAGAGAGCGAGTCACAATACCATAAATACAGTTTATGGCTGTTATCTTCTGAGTTGAGCTGAGTCAAGCTTGTCTCAAATTGTTTGATGGCTATCTTGTCCAATGATCTTATTCTGTCTCTTTTGCCTACATTTTATTGATGGCTGTGATGTTGAATCATCCAAGTTGCTCTTAACGTGAAGATTATATGTTTTCAGCTTTCTATGCTAGTTGCATAGCCGCAAATGTTGTTGAGCAGCTTTGGAATTTTGCTTGGCCTTCTGCCATTGCCTTGATTCACCCAAGCCTTTTGCCAGTTGCTGTGATGGGTTTCTTCACCAAAGTGGCAATAATTGTTGGCGGTCCCTTGGTTGGCAAAGTGATGGACCATTTTCCTAGAATGATTGCTTATAATTGCTTAACTATCACACAGGCAAGTTGTTTGATAATATATAAAAAGTCAAGCAAGCTATAGCTCGTATGTTATGTCAGAATCTTTAAAGACTGACCTAAACAGAATATTTCCTTGTATAGACAGAATTAAATATTAAAATTTGGAGATAACTTTGTCTGATTTTGTATTTATTGTACAAGAATCCCTTAATTTTAGGAATTAACTATGTATGCAGTAGTTTAGGATTTCCTTTATTAGACTTGTATTCTATTTAAGAGCAATTGCTCTTCTAATCAAATCATTAGAAACACATTTTCTGACATCTTAAAACGGATCATTCTTTCTATTTTTCAGGCTGCTGCTCAGTTGCTATCTGCAGCAATGATTATTCATGCCCATTCTGTGCATCATACTTCGTTGTCTACACTTCTTATGCGTCCATGGTTTGGTATATTGGTTTCGGCTGGGGCTATAGAGAGGCTTTGTGGTGTAGCTTTGGGCGTTGCAAATGAGCGTGACTGGGTTGTGTTGGTATTGTGATTCAGAGCTTCCCCTGTTCCCTTGACATGTTATTTGTTACTTGAAAAATTTGTGTTAAAAATCTGGTTCTGTTTCTCAGTGGTTTCTTTTGACAGCTGGCAGGAGTGAATAGGCCGGTTGCACTTGCACAGGCAAACGCTGTCCTAAACCGAATTGATCTCCTCTGTGAAGTATATTATTATTATTATTATTCAATAAGTTGATTAGCAAGCCTATACATTTCCCTGTTTAAAGAGCTTGCTTGCCATTCCATATGAATGAAATATTCAGAAATCATGTCTCATGAAATGTTCGTTTACAGATAGCTGGGGCATTGCTGTTTGGGTTCCTTCTTTCCAAATTTCATCCTGTAATCTGCTTAAAATTTGCTTCTGGCTTAATGATGGGGCTTCTGCCTGTGACAGTAATTTCTCTGCTTTCTTGTCTTGTTTTATTAATGTCTTAAGTTGAAGGCTGAATTCATTTTCACTCTCCATTCTCAATTTTCAGATTGTTTTCACTTATTTAGCCAACAAGCTTTCTACTGGTGTTCTTGACCGGCCTAAACCTTCACAAACCTGTTGCAGAACATTTAATGAAGATTCTACCACTGATGCTGACAGTATAGGTATACTATTTCTTTGGAGAAATTTCCTTGTCTGGAATCTAGATACTTTAAGTGTACTCACTTCCATCTTCTGGCAAACAAGTGTTTAAGGGTCTGGAAGCCATCAAGCTTGGCTGGAAGGAATATCTGGGTCAGCCAGTTCTTCCTGCTAGTTTGGCATGGGTGCTCCTCTACTTTAATATTGTTCTTGCACCCGGCAGTTTGTTGACAGCATTTTTAACACAGCGTGGTATGTGAAAGTTTCTCCTGTGGTACCTTTTTATTTTGGGAAGTTTCTTTCGCTTCTAGCTCATAATTTGTTGCATAAAGAATATAGTGAAGCACCTGATTTCAAGTTTTTGAAAAAAATTCTGTCTGTCAAACTCATGATTGAGAGATTTTTCTTTTAGTTGTCAAACCATTCATAATATAGTAGATTGGACTAACATAATGCCTCTTCCTCTTTGGTTACTCTTTTCAATGATTACATTTTAAGTTTACCATGAATGGTTTTTTTTCCTTGTTATTATTATTATTATTGGTAGTTTCACTAGTATTTTTATTGTAAAACTGGGTACTGTAAAAAATGCTCAGCTAGACAGAAGGTAGAAGGGATCATATTTTGATGTGAGGTTAATTGCTGTGTAGTCTTCCTGCCCCACTGTTTTGCCTGTTACTCATTCTATTTCATTTTTGGACTAATGATCAACGTCATTCTGTAATTTCTATTATCTTTTCCTTTCCTCTTTTTAGGGGGTGGGGGATTTTATTTTATTTTTTTGGTATTTGTGCTAAGTCAAGATTTTTTTTTTATTGTTCTGCAGGTTTACATCCATCTATCATAGGAGGATTCAGCGGATTGTGTGCTTTTATGGGTGTTGCTGCAACATTTGTGTCTTCAACTCTGGTCAAGCAGTTTGGCATTTTAAAGGTTTTTAGTTTATTATGTATAATATTTTTTAATATTGCACATGGGAAAACATAACATATTGTTTTTATCAAGTTATTGAAAAAATTTCTCTTTTTACCTCTCTTTACCAGGCTGGGGCAGTTGGGTTGGTGTTTCAAGCTTTACTTCTCAGCATGGCTGTTGCTGTATATTTGAGTGGATCAATTTCAAACCAGAGCCCTCTTTTTATTTTCTTATCTCTGATTGTAAGTCACTATTTTTATTTTTTTTTGTCGCTGATTATCTTTGTTGTAGTTTACAAACTATAGCGGTGTTATCATGAGAAGTGGGGTCATTCTGATAGGGATTCAAGTACAGCTTATACTGAATTAGGGAGGTAAAATGTGATATGGATTGTTCAAGGTGGTCAGTTCTAAATATTCTTAAAGGCTTAAACACTGATTATATCCTTTAAATTCTGATTTTCAATGCAATATGCATTTGTCAGCAAAACAGGCTTAGCTTGTGTTTAGCATTTTATCTAGACCTTCATTATTTTACTAAGAGGACAGGATATCACTGCTGAAAAAAGTTGCAACAAGGCAGTGTAATTGAATATTTGTTAAAATAGCAAAAAAGTTTTAAGTGTACCAGAAAGGAAAGACTTTGGCATACCCAAAATTGCAATATTATTCAATTTTGGAAATTTTAACTTTGGATTTTTTACATGAAATTAGTTCTTGTCAAATTTGTTCATAGTGAAATTTTGTGCATAAACTGCTGTCTTGTGTGTGCAGATTTTGTCACGGTTAGGACACATGTCATATGATGTTGTTGGGGCACAGATTCTCCAAACAGGTATCCCATCATCCAAAGCAAATCTCATTGGGACAACAGAAGTTGCTGTTGCTAGTTTGGCAGAGTCTATAATGCTGGGCGTTGCAATAATTGCAAATGATCCTTCTCACTTTGGATGTTTAGCACTGTTGTCTCTTCTATCTGTGGTTGGCGCAGCATGGATGTTCTGTAGATGGTTGTTGAATCCCACAGATGAACAAAAAAGTCTTTTTTCTTATGATCCTCAATTTTGATATCTATGTAAGTATCCCTTGTATTCATTGGTCGTTGTTTACTAGCATATTTTTTCTATCTGACCTCTCTCTTATAGTCTCTTATAATATTAAAATGCAACAAAAATTCCCTCTCTCCTATGATCCAACGGTGTATTGTTAAATAGTTCATTATTTGCTACCACTTTTCCCATGTCCTTCAAATAAATGTTTATGAACTGCTTGCACTTGTCTAATTGTTTTCTCATGGTGTTGTGGTCTAATAAAAGAATAGTCGGGGAGGCGGGACTCTTGCCATTTTTTCCCTTTCTTAGTTCAACATTTACTCATGTAAACTGGGATGTATCTTCTTTGGTCTCCTGTTAAGCGTTGTGGGTGAATGAGGCTTTGTTTGTGTTATGTTGCCAGATAACAGTCTTAGAAAAATATAAATTAATTCTTCAATAGATTTCAACAGATCCAATTTATGAATTCTAATGGTGCTGTCATTCTCTTAGTAGTGATCTAAGACTATTTTATCTAACCATTAACTTCTGTTAGTGCAGTTGTTCCATAAGCTGCCTTAGTGCAAAGGCTGTTTGATGTGGACAAGAACCAAATTATATTGGAAATAATTAGCGTGGTGGGTGATTATCCACTTAATACCGGAGCTTGAGGCATTTTCTTCTCACCTGGCCAATGATATTTATTTCATTGTATGGACAGATAGATGGCTTTGCCTGTAATTCTGTAAATGTGTAGCATGCCTTCATACTATATATTAGTGTACATGACGAATCAAATTAGCTAGGTGCGTAGGTCCAACACACAAACGTTGTTTTGTAAAGCATTTTTTTTTTTTTAATTCTTTCCCGGTGTCTAAAAATATAAACAGACTTGTTCCGGTGATTGTGATAAGTTCAATGATTCCTAGTGAAATTCCACGGTAAACAGTTTCTATCATCTACTTTTATATATGAAATATAAATATCAGCTTTTACGTAAACGTGGTTTAATTTTATATTTTGATCTTTTTAAAATAGCACTTTTTTGAAAAAACTTTCTTACTAATTATTTTGTTCAAATTTCGAAATAAGATTGCTTTGTAGGGTAATCATATGACTAAAAGTAAAGTGAGACCAAGAAAAACCACAAGTTAAATTGTTAAAATTATTTGTCTCTAGATATAATATGGAATATGGTGCTTTTTTATCTATGTGGCTCATCCACCACTCCCGTGGATATCTAGGAAAAGCTCTCCATTGAGGAGTTGAATTTCTCATGGCAGATCTGAACAAGAGCATGCAGACAATATCTCTACAGAACTTCAAAGCCACCCAAGTGCTTTTTAACCTTACTTGCTTTGAGTTTATTTTATATAAAGACAAAGTTCTTAGATCTAAAAATTTAGATTTAATTCTAGGTGATGATGAAATAATAAGATATGTTTTTGAGGACTTTAATATTGGTCTAAAAATTAAGGATTCTAAAGAAATTTTTAATAATACACAAAATCTATGTTTTGAGATAAAAATTCTTTTAGAGAGGATTATAAACAATGGTATTTTTTATGAAAATTATTATTAATTGTTAAACTTTTAGGAAATCTATTAGTTTTAACTATTTGAGTTAAAAGTTAGGAGTTATTTAAGAAAAAAATAGTCCTATTAAAATTTTGAACTTTGATAATATTTTTTTTTAGTAAAATTTAAGAATATGGAGGATTATAAGCACATTTTATTTGAGAGTCTTAATTCTAGATCACTATTTTTTTGTTCGAAGATAGAGACTTTTACTTAGGCTAAAGGATTATAATCTTAAGAAGATTGTTACATGGGTCTGTATCCTGACCTTCCACTAGAACTTTATAATAATCAGAAATTTATGTAATAGGTGTGTTTGTAAGGGTTAATACTAAAAACATGACTCACATACCTTTTTACTTTCTAGAGACAAATTTGTTAAGATATACATAGAAATAAATCTTAGAAAGAAGTTGATTCCCTCGTTTAAGGTTTTAAGTGAGGAATTTAAAGTGAAGTACGAAGAATTACATCTCATTTGGTTTAAATGTAGGAAATATGGGTACAAGCATGAAACCTACACTAAATTAATTAATTCTAATGAAGATCATTGAGATCAATTGACTACCCATACCCCTAAGATAGTTATGCAAGAAGGAGACTATAATAACCTTAGTCTAGTTATTAACGGGGAAGTCTAGGGTGTAATGCTCTTAATTTATAAATTATTTGTTTTCATAATGGATTTATAGTTTTAATTAAATTATTAATTAATTCTCTCAAATGCGTTACGAGAAAACTTAACAAAATTTTAAAAATTTCTATTTTTTCCATTCAATCCATAAAAGTTTAAAAATACACAAAATGATGAAATTTAAAATGTAATTAAACATTCTCATTGCATCATAAGTTGCTAAATAAAATAAAATTTGAATAGCATTAAATAATTAACATATTTGGTGTTACTCAAATACATGAGTTCAATATTTATAAGTCGTAATTAAAATACATTAAGACTTAAATTATATAATTACAAAATCAAAATACATTAAGTCCTAGTGAGCAGATCATTCCTACACCAAATTTCAGAGAATATGATCCTAGTCTGCTTTAGTCTTTAGCAAAACAGCTCTCTAGTTCTTCCATTTCTTCATATATTAGGTCATCATCATAATGGTCTCCAGTGTTAATTGTGACCTTTATGCCAGTTATATGCTCTCGAGTAAATCTAGTCGGTCTTCCTAGACTTAAACAATTTAAAATTTTCACAACAAACAAAATACAATAACAATTATATTAGCAATATCATAATGCATGTACTATAATCATGCAATGCAATACGTCATTTCTCGTATACACAATTCTTCATACACTAAGATCAAAGTCTTTCAAAATTTTAAATATCCCTTGGGCCCTTAACACTACTAATCATGCCTCTTGCATCTCATGAGGTCTTACATATGTATGGATAGTCGTCAGTTAACCATTGCACAGTAATACAATGTATGCAATACTTAGTCTCTTAGCCAAAAATACAGTTAAAAGTTTAGTCGAGAAATGAGTATGAGGTCATGTGTTGCTTTCACTGTTGTTAAAACATGAATAATGAGAGAAGAAGAGGTCCTTGAATATTGAACATTTGGAAGAATGAATATTACATGTTTTTAAAACTATACAAATCAAAAGTACATCTACAATGAAACTAATGACTAATTAATTAAATATATTTCTTTTTAAATAACTCAAATGTATACACAATGTTTAACACTCCCCATTAAGATGGGTGGTAGATGTCAAGAATTTTCATCTTGGACATTAAATTTTGAAACTGAGTAGTAGTTATTGGTTTTGCTAAGATGTCAGCTAATTGGTGGTGAGTTTTAACATGAACCAACCTAATTGGTGGTGAGTTTTAACATGAACCAACCGCTTTAAACCTGAATTGACCTTCTCTTGAATGAAATGAGAGTTTATCTCTACATGTTTGGATATTTCATGAAATGTAGGATTTGTAGAGAGATGTATGGTAGATTGATTATCACAGAACACTAATGCTGAGTTTATATCTCAAAGTCTTTAAGTAAGGCTATCATCCAAGTTATTTCACTTGTAACTGCTACCAAGGACCTGTATTCAACTTCTGTTGAGAATCTAGATACTGATGCTTGCCTTTTAGATTTCCAAGATATTAGGAATATGCTAAGAAAAACACAGAAACTTGTGGTTGATCGCCTCATGTCGATGCAATTACCCCAATCTGTATCAACATATCCTTTAAGGCTCAAAAATGTTGTTGCTGAGAAAAATAAACCTTGACTCGGACTCGTCTTAAGATAACATAGCAAATGATGTAGAGCATTCAGATGAGGGACACGTGGAGAAGACATATATTGGCTTAACTTATGCACTGCATAAGAAATATCAGGACAAGATATGGTGAGATACATAAGCCTTCCTATTAATCTTTGATAAATTGAGCCATCTTTAATCAGATCTCCTTCTGTAGCAGATAATTTCAGGTTTGGATCCATTGGCAAGGTAGCAGGCTTGGACCCTATGAAATTAGTATCCTTAAGAAAGGTTAATGTATATTTTCATTGAGACAAATGTATGCCTTGTGCAGATCGAGCTATTTCTAAACCCAAGAAATACTTCAAATCGCCTATAACTCTTAATTTGAACTGTTTCTGCAGTTTGTCTTTAACTTGTTCAACCAGTGTGCAATTAGGACTAGCTATAATGATATCATCAACATAAACTAGTAGTAAGACTAAGGAATTACCCAAACTAGTGTGAAAAAGAGAGTGATCACTCTTGGATTGCACAAAATCGTGATTCGTCAAAGTATGAGAAAACTTATGGAACTATTGTCTATAGGCTTGTTTTAACCCATAAATGGATTTGTGGAGTTTGTATATGAATTTCTCCCCCTGAATTGGATACCCTAGTGGTAAGTCCATATAAACTTCTTCAAAGAGATCTCCATTAAAAATACATTATTGATGTATAATTGAAGCAGTGACCAATTTTTAATAACAGCTATGCTTAATAAAATTCTCACTGTCGTGAGTTTTGTAACAAGAGAAAAAGTGTCCAAAAAATCAATTTTTGCTTGTTGTGTATATCCCTTAGCCACTAATCTTCCCTTATATCTATCCACTTGCCCATTTGACTTATATCTTACCTTATAAATCCAACGACATCTAACATTATGTTTTTCTTTGGGCAACAGAACCACAGACCAAGTGTTATTATCTTCCATGGCTTTGAGTTATGCAGTCATGGCTTGCTGCCAATGTGGGTATTTAGCTACTTGATGGTAAAAGGTGGGTTCATATTCACGGGAGACTTGAGCAATAAATTCTCTATATGTAGGTTAAAGCTTGGGATAAGAAACAAAATTTGTAATAAGATAAAAGTCAGAGGTTATTAAGCATTGATAATCACTGATATACGATGGAGGTCTAGAAAATCTTGAGGAACATCTAGTGTTTAAAGGACCAATGTTAGGTTGCTCAGGTATTACAATTGTAGTACTAGGTAAGAAAGTCCATTGGCTAGGGAGATCAGAGAGAGAAATAGGAATAACAGTATCTGCAAACAACTAAGGTAAGAACTGATCATGTAATTCCTTGTGGAAAAGAAATGTAGATTCATAAAACTTAACATCCTTACTAATAAAAATTGTCTTGTTTCCAAATTGTAAAGTTTATAACCCTTATAACCAATTGGATATCCAACGAATATAGTAGCCACAACTTTGGGACTGAATTTACCTCTTTATATAGATAGTGTAGAAGCAAATCACAAGCAGCCAAAAGTTTGTAATGCATTATAAGGTGGTGGTTTCCCAAAAAGTAATGTAGACGGAGTATAAACTTCAATAAGGGACTAGGAACCCTGTTGACCAAGAAGGTGGCAGTAGCAATGCATTCCCCCAAGAGGAAATGGGAACTTTGGACTGAAAATATAGAACATGAGCTATGTTGAGAAGGCACTGATGTTTTCTTTCAACTACTGCATTCTATTTAGGACATTGAACACAAGAAAATTGATAGATAATGCCTTTCTCTTGCAAAAATGACGTTATAGCCAATTCCTTAGCATTGTCAAATCATAATTGTTTAATTGTCTTACCAAATTGAGTTTGAATTAGTGTAAAAAACCTAACAAGCAGTGCAGTAGCTTTGGATTTATGTTGCAACAAATATGTCCAAGTGAATATACTGTAATCATCTACTATGGTTAAGAAAAGCTTCTTACCATTATAAGTGGAAATATGATATGGACCTCAAATATCGCAATGAATTAAATCAAAAAGAGCAATACACATGTTGTTATTAGAAGAAAATGAAAGGCGTCTAAGTTTAGCCAAAGGACAAATATCACAAACGTGAGAAATATTTTGCAGTAAAGACAAAGT